AGTGTTTTTCTCAGTTTTTGACTTTGTGAATCCAAAGTTTGAATAACAGCTTGTTCTCCTTCCTTGTTTCCCTTTTCTTCCATTTGGTCTCCTTCATTGTGTTTACCATCTCTTATGACTTTAAGTGTTTTGTGAATGGGTGGTTGATCTTTGATTCAAAATAAGCCGATTAAGAAACTGACTCTATGTACAACTGCTCTGATACCAATTGATGGTCCCTTTTGAGGTAAAGGTCTAGAGAGGGGGGGTGAATAGACTTTTAAATATTTTTGAATTATCAACCTTTTCTCCTCTAACAGAGTGAGTTCCAATATCTTTTGGGAGATATTGTCATATTCAGCGGAAGTCTTGACCTCGTACGTGTAACACTCTAGTAACAAAGGTTATGATCCTTTAGTTGAATGAGAGATGGTTAAACAGAGTTCAGATGTGTTTGTCAAAATCAGCTAACTCAAGGAGCAAGCTGCCGAACCTTAAGGAGCAGGCTGTTGAACCACAAGGAATAGGCTACCGAATGAGGTTATTGCTTCAGTATTGAAGACATAGCGATGAACTATGATCTAAAACATTGTTGAATTTTTAGAACAAGCTAAACACATAGGCATAAAGGATCGTGACCTACTTAAACATAGATCAATTTTTGAAACAAGCATGAGGAACAAGAAGATTAAGATGAGGTAAACTGGATAGTTCAATGATTAGTATTTGAGGAAGTTGTTTAGGTTGTCCAGAAATATGTGAAGGTGAGTGGGAACTGTTGTGTGTTGTGAGAACTGAATATAAAAAGTGACACGTGGTATATTCTATTTCAGAGGTGTGTAATCCTCCTACATCTAGTCTCACCCTCTTTCAGATGGATTTTCACTAAATGAATATACTCATTACATTTAGTGCCCAATCTATCTTTGGCCGCATGCATAGATTGTGAGTTTTTTCAGAAGGAATTGAACATCACTCTAAGCTACTCAGTCCTCCAAGATCTCTCACTAATGACATTGACAAGCCAAAAGTTACTCATGTCCCTGTCCTTCACTTACCTTCTGGATTTGATCACAAAGCCCTGTAGAGTTTATAAACTAGTCTAGTTTACAAGAGTAAAACTAAACTACCAACTAATTAAGCTCTAAAGATGTATATGTATTTGAACTATTCTAAGAGCTTAGGAGAGTGGGGTGAGAACTAAGAGGGTGAAGGAATATTACCACTATTTCTAAGAGCTTAGGAGAGTGGGGTGAGAACTAAGAGGGTGAAGGAAGATTACCATTGTTTTTGCTGAATATGTCGTATGATTACATCTTCCTTCCTAGTTCCACACTTCTTGTTCTCATACACTCCTTTTGTATTAGAAGACTTGAGTTGTTAAAGTTCTTCCGTTGGCTAAAGAGATTCAATTTCGATCGTTGGTTGATCCACTTGATTCGTTCTACTTGACTGAAAGGCAGCACTGTTGGTTTTTGTCTTCTTGTGACACGGATTGTATCTTTGTTTCAACTTGTTGTTCCTCATTTCAAGGCATATGGAAAAGATAAGATATTTAATCTTTGGCCGTAGCATAAATAGAGCAAGCTAATTTTTGGATTCGTTCAATGCTTCCTTAGAATATAAATCAATCGCTTTTAGTAAAAATAATGTTATAAGAAATTTTTATGACTTGGTAAAAAATTCTCATAAAATTACTTTTTATCCTCTTTTATTTGACTGCAAGTTGGTCTTTTGATTTCTTATCTTTGTTGTATTGTAGAGAAGATTAGAAGATTTCAGTGGACTCTACTGTAAAACTAAGTCAGTAGCCAGATAGTTTTCAGTAGGCTATTGATTGTAGTTTTTCAGGAGGCTGCCGAACTAAGAAAAGTTTCAGTTGACTCTTTTTCGTACCGTTTTTGCCTTTTGATTCTTTTCTTTGTTTTGGTACTTTCTTCTCTTTTTAGTACTCTCATTTTGTTTTTCTTGAGTACTTTCTTTTCAACTTATAAAGTAGCACATTACAACAAAATGACAAATAAACAAGAGTAGAGAAATTGGAGATCAAGTGATCTTGTAGTCTAATACAGGATAGAGAAAGGGGGTGACATCATCAAAATCTAGAGGACCTAACAAAAACCTGCCTTTGTTCGTTTGTTGGAGAAGCAGTTGTTTTTATGTACTCTTAAGCTACCGCTTTCTTTTTCTTATGGATTTTCAAATATTTGAACATAAAGTATTACTAGCTTTAGCCTTCTCTATTCTTATGAACATAAAATATCACTTTTATTGGTATGTGTGTCACTCCCTTTTGTACAATTGTTAGAGCGACAAAAGGAGTAACATTTATTTCATTGTTAGGGTTGAGAACTTGTACTTACTAGCTTTAGCCTTCTCTATTCTTCTGCAATCACGACTTAGATTAGAGGCTCAACGCTCGACTCAGTAGGGTGTGGTGTAATCGTTCTCAATACTTAATAAAACTCGACTCACTCACTGCCCGTTTTCCCTTGTTGATTAGTACTGTGCCTTTTGCATTGTTAATCAGCCCACAAATATAACCAACTCACCAGAACATCCGACAGAATATGGGAAAAGAAATCATTGAATTCTTTTTGTCGGTATCACACACAATTCGTCTTAAAAATGATAACAAATACTCCCTCCGTCCCAAAAACAACTTCCCACTTTCCTTAAATGGATGTCCCAAAATTAACTTCACACTTCTTCCCACTTCCTTATTTGGCAAATTATCAACATCAAAATAGTGTCAAACAGTGCCAAACAATGCTAAACAGTGTCCAAACAGTGTTAAAACAGTAAAATTTTGGGAAAGTCAAACCAAAATTTTAATCTACCTAAATGTGTGTGCTAGTCAAACTGTGATGTTGTTTTTGGGACGGGGGGAGTATATGTTAGTGACACAAGTAAATTAGGTGTATATGTACACGAAGCAACTTTGTTCTTGCTAAAATTTTCAAAAGTAGAAGTTTATGAATATATACATTTGTCATATAAATTATGGATGAAATTTTTTTGGTTTACATATATACTTTGTATGTGATTGATACCTGCAATTTTGGAGTATCTTCTTATACACACAGCCGTCACAACTGAATGATTGATCATCACTAATATGAAATGTTGACAAAGTAAATATACTTATACTAAAACTAAACATTAATCACATGTACTATTTTGAGGTTTTTTCTTAAATTTAGTACAAAGAGTGATCTTTTATTTATAAACGCCCCTCTTATCGTATTTTTTATTTAGTCAACCTCATTCGTTTTTACTCACTTATTCTCCTATTACTTGTTTGTCATATTCCATTTAAATGTTTTTCATTATAACATAGTTTTGTGTAATAATAATGAAATATGACATATTAAGTTACATATTTATATACTTAGTTGTGGCCTCCAAATTAGCTGCAGCAGGAGGTTTTTTATGTTCTCGGAGAAGACCAAGCAGCTTTCTTTTTCTGGAAGCTAGATGTAGCCGCAGTAGCAATCAATAACTAGGTTTAGCATCCCGAGGGTTTTGTCTCTCTAGCGGCTTTACCGTCGCGTAAGGTTTCTTTCCGCCAATTGTTTGTTCGACTCTTCTTCTCTAGGTTTCTAGAGCGCTTTTTAAAGAAGCGCGAGTGCGGCTGCAGCTTTTGGAAACGAATTCAAGGTTCAAGAAACGATAAACATGTCTCCTATGGATGATCTAGAGCAGTGTTGTCTCATTCTTGCAACTGAAGAGGCCGAAGGGTTAGTTTCTCGTGAATCAACATAGGTAGAAGACGGTGGTGGTAGTGGAGGCGGAACGGGCGATGAGAAGACGGGGAGAGGTGAAGGGCTGAGCAAGGAAGAAGACAGATCGGCGGTCCGTCCCCCTCCTGGACCGCCACCTTGGAGCGATCGAAGTGCTAGAGTTTAGAAGATTTATCAGTTATTTAATTTTTTATGATATTATTTTCGCGTTATGTTTTATGTTGCTCTGTTTTTTTGTTGATGTCTTTAGTTTTAGGTTTACAATTATGATTGACAATTCTGCTAAATATTACGTCATTATAAAGATCTATATGACTAGTGATTGTTGTGTCACACCCGCTTGGTGGTTAGCAATTCGTATTACTAGTCGTAAAGTTGATATTGTCAGTTGGCTACGGATAGTTGTTGTCAAAGTTAGTCTTTTTGAGTTTGTCATAACGATCTGATTCCTAATGATATTAATATAAACAGTTTGTTTTGACGATAAAAAAAAGTTACAAAAAAGTTAGATATTTATATGTGAGTAGGCATGGACCCAACCGGGCCGAACCGGCCCAGATCCAGACCGGCCCGCTACTGTGCGGGCTCAGACCGGGCCGAGCCCGGATGGCCGGTTCTGGGCTGTAGCCCGGTTTGGGCGGTTCTGGCGGGCCGGTTTCGGGCCATGATTTTCATGAACCAGCCCGGACGGCTCGGGCCGGGCCCGGTTCATTTTTTTTGTTTTTCCATTTTTTTTTCTTTTCTTTGGGTAGGACGGGGTGTTTTGGGGGGTGGGGGTTGGGGGGTGAGGGATGGGGGTCAGGGGTTAATTAGAAAGCCAAAAAAAAAATTACATAGAACCGAGCCCGATCCTACCCGGTTTGGCCCGAACCCGATATCAACCCGGGCCAGTTCCGAGCCCAACATTCCGAAAAAAAGCCCACCCGGGCCTAGGCCCAGCACAGAACCGGCCCGGCCAGGGTCCATTCCTGAAATGTGAGAAGCTAAAATAATATTAATCAAACGTTATAATTCTATTTTTAAAAAAACAAATATTATTTTCATTATTTTCCAACCACAAATTTTAGAAAATTTGAAATTTGAACACCGCTAATCTCATTTCTAGAGATGGTACAAAAATAATATACGTAGTAAGCTGATTACGGAGTAGCTTTTTTGGATTATTTAAAAAGTAATCCTATTTTTTATACTACGGGGTATTATTTTTAATAAAACCCCTCAATAAAATATCACGCTAAAAATTAAATTACCCTATTATTAATTTGAGATGAGGTAGAGTTCTTTTAATGAAAATCTTCATAACACGAACGCTAAAAGAAATAATTAATAAAATTATAATCTACAAGGATAGGATGAGAATAGTGATGGTACAGCTGAATAACAAAAAAATCCAGGAATGGTCTTTATCAAAAATATTCCTGGAGCTCTCAGGTCTATAAATGCTCAAAATAAAATCTATAATGATCCTCAAAACTGCTATGGACCCAAACATTAAACAAACTAGAAAAATAAAAATTCCTTTACTTTCCATATACACTTGTCTCTGGTGAACCTCTTCCACCTTCAACCTGGCATTTTTAGCACGCACATTAAGTAAGAAGGGTGGGTTACTCAGATTAGCCCCAAACCTTCAACCTGGCATATTCAGACTATTAGCAATATAATAATAAGAGAAGGAAGCCCCAAACCTGAGATTAGTATTGTCCATCATTATCTTTTCCAGCTGAATGGAAACAAGGGACTTCCATGACAACAGATCATTCACCTCCTTACTCTGCAACAACAACAAAAAGAAAAGGCTTTAACTGAATTGCACACTCTACATGACAACGTCTCCATTAACGCACTAACAATAGGAAAATGCTTAGAGCGCTAGCAAGTTTTGCTTGGCGGATCCCCCCTCCCCCTGTTCCCTAAGCAACCCAAATTGAAGACCTACTAGAGTAGCGTGAAACGTGCAAACTCCAATTTAATTGAATCCATTGTAGGCAGGGGTACAAGCAAGGACAAAGACACACATATGTCCCTCACAGTTCATCCACCAGTATTCTATGTGCAAGGGAAGGGCCCTTGTGTTAGGAGAAACAGCGGTGGAGACGAGGGGCTCTAGGGGGTTGCAGCCCCTCCAAATAATTTCATTGTGTGTGCGCAATTATTTATTAAATATATAAAATAGTATGTACGAATGTGAAGCTTTGCTCCCCCCCATAGATTTTTAAGCTCCTGCCCCCATAGATTACGAGGGAGAGAGCTTATCATCATGTAACGAATTTCACACATACCACAGCATCCTGGCTCTTGGAAAAACTCTTTATGTCTGAAATGATCTTCTCGAGGAGGGCTTCTTTCTCTAATATATCTTTGTCAAATATGGCAACAGTCTTTCCATATCTAGAATTCAGTTCTTCTAGATACCGCTCAAGGACAGATAAGTTTATATCAAGAGATTGAATTTTCTTCATTAGGATTTTCAGAACACTATCGCCAGGCATCCTGTTTAGTTGTGGATGGCGAATCTCCTCAACAGGATCAGGCACATTTACCGCCGTAATCGCCATAGGCTTGACGGTATCAGAGTTGTTTTCAAGTTCAGTGTCAATTTCTAAATGACTGTCTTCAAGCATAGGTTTCTGCTCATTGTTTGTTTGATCAGAAACAAACTTCTTCTCTGGAACAGAGATAAGATCATCCAGCATCTTCTCCACAGCATCAACTCCATACACTTCCAGGACACTTAACGTACAGTAGAACTCTGATCCGTAATGATTAAGAAGATTCAGTCTCACATATCTCACCCATTTTGGTTCTGCAAGTACAAACCTTTGAGCATGTTTGACATTCCCAGCAGTAAAATTGCCGAGACTGACCCAAGCATCAGTTGGATAAATAGGACTACCAAGAAGTTCGAAATCCTTTGGATTGGAAGAGTAGTGTTCGAAATTGCCGATCTCAATCGTATCTACTAAAGTTTCTTCTGATAGTTCTATCACAACATACTTATCCTCAACAGAACAAGGGTTTCTAAGATACTTGTCCTTATCTCTGCTCAAGATATTAGAAGCACCTTTGACTTCCTTGTTGTGAGCTAAGACCTTAGCCCCTTTGGAAGCAGAAGCATAGTTGTACTCTGCTCCTCCCGGTTCCACCCTATGTGTGACACTTCCGGTCTGATCATTTAGATCTCGTATTTTTGTATTGACTGCTTTGTTTCGGAACTCATCAAGACTCAGAGTGACTGACTGAGAAAACCTATCAGACTTGAATTCCTTTTCTAGATTAGTTATTACTTCTGATTTTCCCTTGTCTGACTTTGTGTTCTTCTCTGATTCACTGGGGGTGTCATCGGTTTGTTCACTGGGGGTGTCATCGGTTTGTTCAAACGATACACTGATCAACTCTTCAGAATCAAGGATCCCCTCTGAGGGGTTTTCATCTGCAGATGAAGCAGAATGGCTTCCTCTTCCATACACAAGTTTATCTTTGCCTGCAGATTGAGTACTACCAAACTGATGCTCCCCAGATCCTGGATCTAATTCCACCAAAGATAGATGCAAACAAAAACTAATTAAAAGACATTATGGGCATAGAGCTACATAAACCAATCTCAAGTGAAATGAGGAATATATTGTGTTACCAACTTACATACAACTGTATTCTCTATTTGGAGCTATATTTATTGCTTCCCCAGACATTTTTTAATATGGCACTGTTCATACTGCATTTCACTTTGGATGCCTTTTTATCCGCGTCAGTTGTTTTACAAAAACTTTCAATTTTTTATAAACCTCCTAACCTTCCCTTTTTCATTACTGGGGTTCTTTCACAGAAAGTCTAACAGTCTCTCTACTCCTAGGAGAAGAGGTAACATCTGCGTCCATCTCACCCTCCACAAACCCTACTTCCGAACTCTGAGTGGGATATACTTGTTATGTTTTAAATAATGTTGATGAATCATAATGTTCTTTTTGTGTTTCATCTATGTCAATCATAAAAAACATGGAGAAATAAAATGTGAAGTTCTAAGAATCTGACATTTTGGTAGGAAAACCAACCTTTGTCCATGTCTCCATGGCTAATGCACAAATTTAAAACGAAGACAAGTACCCACAGTAGAAGAGCCAGAAGAGTCAGAAGAGAGATCCTTGATGAAGTATATTTTCCACAGAATGCTTTCTCCAAAGACCTTGGCTGAAGATCCTTACAAAATCTATGCATTGCACATCAATCTAGTCTTGTGCCAGATCACCAAAAATGAGCTGCATGCCTGCAATAAAGGAAATGTAGAAATATATTGAAAAGTTCCCAAAATTCCAAGCTAAAGGACATAAATCTAGGTAGTATATTGAAGTAAAAACGCATCAATACATCAAATATTCCAAAGTGTCAAAGTAGTCACATGGTTCGCAGTACGGTTCGATACGGAAACGAGGAACGGGAACGCGGTTCGCTAGATCTAGCGTATCCGATTCGGAGGGGGTAGGTTCATTTCGGTACACGTTCGGTACGATGTATCATATGTTCGGTACACTGTACCTAATATTTCGGTACTATAATAAAAATATAAATCTGAATTATAGAATACAGATTTCAACATTGAACAAAAACAGATTTCATAACATGATTTCATAACATTAAACAAAAGAAAAAACATTAATATCCCAGAAACATTTCAAGCAAAATAAAAAAACAGTACTACAAAGACATCTTCCCTCAATTTATAAGAGTTAATTAAAATGTAAAATTGATGAGTAGGAATAATTGGGGCCAGAAAACAAAGGGCTGGAAGTCTGGAACGCTGGTTCGAAACGAAGGGCCAGAAAACGAAGGGCTGCAAAATTTTAATACGCCTATTACTACAGGCATCTGAAACGAGGAGTACAGAAATTATTACCTGGGCGTCTCAAAGTAGTACTACGACGATTCAGTTTTGTTTGAAATTGCGACCGAACTGGTAGGGCTGCGGATCGACTCCGGTTAGCGATGGGGAACGAACTGGTTAGCGATGGGGAACGATTCGGGAAGAGATCGTAAACGCCTGCACCAGCGTTTTACATAGCGATCCGAATAGCGTTTGGAACGCTTTCGTACCGCGTTTGGGTACGCGGCGTTCGGAACGTAGTTCACGGCTGTTTCAGCGATTTAGAAAATACACACTGATCTAGAAAATACCTGATCTCCAATTGTTCCCATCTTTATAGTAAAGGATTATCAAGCTAATTTTAAAATAAATATCTAACCTCTAATTCATTAGCACATGTGGGAGGAAAGAAAAGAAAAAGATGAAGCAGAAACTGAGGGGGGGATATAGATCCAAGTATACAATTGAAGGAAGAAATCAACAATGGTTTTCTGCCAATTTCTAGCAGATGATGAAAGAAACCAAGAAATACTACAAATTAACAGGAAAGGTCTTGAAAGGATTCGATCAATTACAACTAATTGACTGGTAATCTTGTTTTCATAGGATTTGCCCACTAACAGCGGCTTGCAGATCACAAAAGCTGCTTCATTGACAATTGGATGCCAAAGTTTCTCTAATAACTCAAAAAATACAACTTTATAAATACGTCTGAATTTCAAGAAGGATAATCACCTGAATCAATAATAACATGAAGAAAAAGAAGGAAAGGAAGAAATCAAAATAGGAATTATAAAGGGAATAATGACAAATCAAACAATGAATATGACTCACGATCACATCAACAGCAAGAATACATGAATTAAACAGCGCATCAACATAGAGAACACATGTAACAGAATATATGATGAATAGCTAAATAGAACAGTAAAAATGCACCTTAGAATGCAATAAAAAGACGTGGATCTTCAAAACCTGAATTCAGAATTCGACTGTCAATCAATGTGAATTCAAGATTCATGTTTCTACTTCTTTTTCTAATTTATCAGCCTCGACTTACTTAACCGACAATGCACTTTGCCTCTTTGGCGTTTCGTGAACGGCTCTGCTGGCATGCGCTGTTGCGGACACTTTTAAAACTTTGCCTTCAACTCACTCACTCTCTCTCTCCGCGTTGATTCTTGGAAGACATGGGCTTTGGGTTCAACTCTCTCTCTCTCTCCAATGCAAGAACATGGTTTCGGGAGGAATTTGGGTTTATTTATTAAAAAATGATGTTTGTACACATTCTTATACACACTTTTGTACACATCTATGTATCTGAATTTTTTTTGTCTGTGAACATCGATTCACAGACAATGTTTTGCACAAACCAAATATAAGGTGTGTAATGATTTTTTTTGTCTGTGAATCCGGTTCACAGACAAAAAAAAAGATTCACAAACATGGTATGTATAAGGTGTGTACAAGGGTGTGTAAATCAGACATGGTTGTTGATTATTTTCTTCTCTATATTCCATTTTACTTTGTTTTACTCCTATAATAATAATTGCATCATTTTGTACTATCCACGTATCTTATTTTTGTGATTTTTGTACTATTCACACATCTTATTTTGACCACGATATGATGATATATATAAACAAATTATTATGAATATAAAGTCATTAAATTTTTATTAATGTAAATTTCCAAAATATTAACTTTTTATAATGTTTATTATACATAATTAAATATAATTACAATCAAGTTGTGCGTTGTCAAACGTGAAAGCCAAAATGTTGCAACTATTAAACAATGGAAGCCGGTATTTACTTTTCAAATTCTTTTATGGGAGAATTTGATTTTGCAATCCATATTTTGGATGAGTTTTGCACCTCATTTTCAAAATCATTAATGCATGTATCCTATCGGTTCAATTAATATTATAGTGAAGTGAGATGTATAGATTAATGTCACTATGAGTTATTGTTTATATTTAAAATAAGGACTTATTGGATGAAAGTTATCTAAGTTGAAAAGTTTTGCTGATCTTGCTCTCGTAAAAGGAGACACAAGGAGTATCTTTTACATTCTTTGATTTGTAGACTTTTAAAGATGGTCTTGACTTTGCCAATTGTCATTCCAATTTTTAAGATCTCGTGATGATTTTCTACTATTAAATTAGCTAAAATTAACTTGCCCAAAAGAATTTGTGATTAGTGTTTAAGTGATTGTCTAGTTTATTTTGAGCAAGGTGTAACTAAAACGGAGAGACTACCATGATTAATGAGTCACTTTCAAAACATGAAAATTCAATGGCAGAAATATAATTATATTGTACATTTATAAATCTCTTTATTTTAATAGACTTCACTAAGAATTTTATTATTGTAATATGCGACAAAATATACGGTACACCCGGCTGTACCGTGTGAGTTGGTGCAGCCAAGTAATTTTGTAATTACTTGCAAAAGGGAGGCTACTAATTAGGGGAAGGGTATCTTCTTTCTTTATTTTCATTCCGTTGCTCCTTCCTCTTCCCATTTGCTCTTCCCATTTGCTCTATCTTTTTTCTTTTTTCATTTCTTTATATTTTATTTTTTTTCTATTCCGCTCCACTTATCGTTTGTTTGTAGCTTCTTCTTGTTTTTTCTCTCTTTTGTCCGCTTCTCTTTTTTCTCTTCTTTTAATTTTGCAACTTTAATTTTTCTAATTTTAACTTCTTTTTCTAGTTTCTGTTTTCATTTTTCCTTTTTTCTTTTCCTTTAATTTTGAACTTTAATTTTTCTAACTTTTTCTTTTTCTTTTTTAAGCTTTTATTTTTTCTTTTTATATATGACTTTTGTCTATGCTCCTCTAATTTTAAACTCTTATTTCTTTTTCATTTTAATGTAAATTTTCTACAAGAATTTTTTCAGACAATTCTTTCAAAAATTCGTATTGAATGACAATTCAATAAAAACATATACCTCTCTCACTTTTCTATTAAAAGCTCCAACTTTCTAAATAATTATTAGTATATTATTTAAATTAAATGTGCATATAATTTAAGGAATTGGTTTGTCTGGATAAGGAATTAGTGTTTCTTTATGTTATACTATGAGCGTACACAAATTGATATTTGACCAAGCGGAAATAAAAATACAATGTTTCTTCATAAAACTTTATATCTTATGCTCATATCCAAATCTCATAATGAAAACATCAAATAACCCAAGGAATCCGTCTTTAAACAAAACATTTACACCTGATCAGGATTTCAAAACAAATATTTAAATAATCCATAGGAGTACTGAAGTACTAAAAGAAAAACATAACAAATAGCCAGATCTTCTCCGTTAACCCATCCAAAATCTTGTCACCGGCTCTATACATTCTCTCAGGCTTCCATACTTCGTTTATTACCTATACATGAGAACATAAGAGAATAGAATTTTCGTAAGCAATAATGCTTAGTAAGTCACCATTTCATCCACTAAAACATTTAAAGAATCTCATCAAATCATAAATAGATATCCATGCTTAATACATCACACACATATTATAATTGCACATGAAATGCGCAAAACACACATAAGCGTTGTCACACCCCGGACCGCATCCAAGCACGTGTACAACCGCCGTGTGATCATGTGACGTCACTCGCGAGTCAACCTCACTTAATCACACAAGGCGTTCATGAACATCGTTCATACCATACTCAGTAAGTAAACATACATAACAACATCACATCATAGATTGAATGAATAACGGAAAATATTTGTCGGTCAAATCATAAGCCATATATGGCAAAGCGTAGGCTCACATGCCAAAACAAAGTAATATTACAAAGTATCCATGAGCATAGTTTATGATTTAAAACAGTAAAGGAAGCACAAACCACGTCTTCCTCTAGATTGCTTTCACCCGTGCAAAGGTGTAGACAACAAGCTCTAGCTTCAACCTGAAATGGTGGCCCCCCGAAGGGGTCAGTACAAGTACCGAGCGAGTAGCAAGCTAAATGTAGAGTAATTAACGTTTCAAGTATAAGACCCAAACATAGGGTGATACATATACTTATACATCTTTACCCCAAGTTACAAAATACATATCAGTACTCATATACACTTTGAAATACCTGACCCGTAGGTCATTGTTTATTTGGGAAAATAATAGTAGTCAATGTCCTTGACTTAAAACCCCAACCCACTCATAGACCTATGAGTGTATAGGACTCCTCCTGTCCAAATCAAATGATCATAAGGACCCCGCCCGGTCCTGAATTACTAAACAGTAATCTATGAGTTTTGAGGATACCTTCTGATCCTTGGGTACTCCACCCTATATAACCGAGTTTTGAGGATATCGCCCGAACCTTGGGTACTCCACCCTATATAACCGAGTTTTGAGGATACCGCCCGATCCTTGGGTATTCCACCCGACATAACCGAGTTTTGAGGATACCTCGCGATCCTTGGGTACTCCACCCAACATAACCGAGTTTTGAGGATACCTCCCGATCCTTGGGTACTCCACCCGACCTATGATATACCACATATCATACTAGATATGGTCTATATCATAATCAACAAACAAGACTAAACCAAGTCTTAAGGCCTAAGCAAATCATCCATGCAATTCATGCATTTAAAATCAACGTATGGGCAATATAAGACCAAACCGGCGCCGTTTCAAATCTGACCAGTGCCGGTTCATAGTCAAATAATATGAGCCAGGCTAAACCCGCTCAAACCGGCGCCGGTTCTATGCATGACCGATGCCGGTTGCCCACTCTCGGTTGACCCGTTATTTCAAATCCAAGATATGTCAAACTTAAACACAAGATGTATTAAGTCATAAACAACCATATCATGCACCATTTATCTCTAAACATGTCACATATGTTTTTATAAACATTTTCATATCACAATTCATGCATATCTCAATAGTTCATTTCATACAAGCCTAATCACTTTGGCTAATCACATGTTTAATCTCATTTAAACATTATTATGAACACATATAACATTTACTTAGGTAATCTCATGCTTAACCCAAAAGTTACAAGGCATTAAGCCATCCACTCATCTCAAATGAGCTTTAAGAAGATTCTACTCTTCTTAGTTGAACTCCGACGAGACTCCGGCGAACTCCGGAGAAACTCCGGCGAACTCTAGAAACACTTGAGTCATGCTCCTAATATGGTTTTATCATCACAAAACCCATATCAACACAAATAACCTCTAAAAGGTTATTTTCCGGCGAACCGGTCATTTTAGCTTCTAAGTCCGTTCTTGGACTTAGAACTACCTTTCAACCCCTCATTCTACACTTCTAAATGTGTAGAATAATTCTAGGGGTCCTCCATATGATATATTAGTCATATGATATATAAGAAGTAGAGGAAAAGTTATTATAAGGTCATTACCTTAATCCTTCAAGCTTTTTCCTAACTTTTTCCTTCTTTAACCTTTCTCTTTGGACTCCTATTGCTTGAGTTCGAAATTGCAGCTATGGAGGAGGGTTTGAGAGCTTCCTTTCTCTCTTTCTTCTGGCCTTGGTAGATCTTTATAGGGAGGTGGAGGTTGTGAGAGTAGTTTTTGTCTCATTGGACAAATGAGTGTGGATGGGAGGTCCACCTCACATGTCCTTTAGACGCTCTTCGACTCAATCCAACTCCTCCCATCCCTCCTCTCTTAATTCAGCCATCCAACCATTGGCTTTTGTGATAAAAAAACGTGGGTTGGCCCCCACACATGTGGGAGGTCAACCCTTTAACTCCCGAGGTGTACAATCAGTCCCGAAAGTTGCATTTTTCGGACTGTTTTAATTATATTTTATTTTATCGGGTCAAATAAAATAAATTATGTGTTTCCCATAATTATGGACTCCTAGAACGAATATACATTACTCATCTTTAATTTAGAAGTCTCTGAAATCCATTTCGGGCTGTTATCTGATAAATTACCAATACCGATAATTGGGCATCGTTTGACCAACGGGTCAACCCTATGCCCTTCCTATGGCCCAACTAACATATCCACCGCCATATAAATATTATCTAGACAAAAATGAATATAATATGTGGTCCCGGGATTATCGGGTGGTCCCCGCTCCCGATGCGGGCCCCGCGTGCAATTCACTATTTATGCAAAAGTAATGACAAATTTTTTTACAACCTTGTAAATTCATAAATCATTACTCAAGGTTCATTACATGATTTACTAAAAGTAATTATACTTGGGGACGGTGTTACA